TTCAGTAGATCTCCTATGATAAGTTAACTTCATCGAATCAGCAGACGTTTGCAAGTTTGAACGCACTTGATGGTGGATATCATCCATCCTTTCCGATAATACTTCCACAAACTCTGACATATTCACAGGCAACTCTTCATAAGGTTGGCATCCCTTATGCTTGGGTCCCCTTTTAGCACTACATGTACTGCATGTCCGGCACCATTCTTCCACATCTCGCCTCATACCTATCCAATAAAATCTTTGTCGTATGTGATTCAATGTCTTCTTGATTCCGAGATGTCCTCCTGTTAAACTATCATGGGATTGACGCAACACAACTTCTCGTAATTTCCCCGGTATAACTGTTGTAATTTCTCTTCTCGTTCTTTTGCTGTTCTTGTATTGCTATGCTGTAGTTTGATTTACCGCTTCTCGTTTCCATTTTTTGTCCCACTCTCTGACACCAATTTGTTACGTCTCCGTTTGTTAAATTGATTTTCAGTAACTTCGTTCCGACGAAACTTTAGCGACACAAGTCCTTACTTAATAAAACTGGTTTATTCTTTCCGAATATAACTTTACGATACACTTAATTTCAATATTCGCGCTAAAACAAACACTATAACGAACGAACGTTAACTTCAACAATACCCTTTGACTGCAGATAAATTACTCACTACCTACACACACATTATTGTCCCGTCACGTTGTCACCCTCTTATATATACCAGGCTACCTTATATCTAGTAATCTCCCGACAATTCCCGAAGGTTCGAGAGAACGAGTCACGTGACCTCGCTGACGCAACAATACCTTTGCCCTTGTCAAGCAACATTGCCTGGGTACTTGCAAATAAAATTTATGAAGGTGTCAGCTAGTTCGGACTTACAATGCTAGAATCCGGGTTTCGATACACGTGGTGGGAAGAGCACAGCTAGCCCAATGTGTAGCTTTGTGCTTAATTGCAAACAAACAATCAGCTAGTTAATATAGGTTTAATAATTTTTCTTCAAAAAAAAATATTTAAAAAGAAACTGAGAAGTAATGGTCATTACAAGTATTCTTCTCTTTTAATTTCGTTTTTCTTGAAATTAAAAATAGTTTTCATTAAATTTTACATATTGATGTTGTCGCAGTCGCAAAGAACGAGTAATTTCACTCTTCCAAAACTAAGAAGAATTGTAGTATGATATTATCATTTTTTAACCCTTGTCGTTTTGTTGATTTTCGCACAAAGCTGCTCGAGGATTGTCTGGGCTTTGTTTATTTATTAAGCACAAAGCTACACAGTAGGCTATCTGTCTTTTTCCTACTGCAGATTACCTGATCTAGCAATCCCTAATTTTAAAGTGATATACTAGAGGAAAGGCAGCTAGTCAACATCACCCACTGCCAACTCGTGGGCTACTCTAATCGAATAGTGGTATTTAATCGTCACTCTTATAACGCACCCACAACCCGAATCTCGCGAGAAAAATAAATGACACTACTATCAAAACAAGCGGCACTGCCTTTCGAAACGAGCAACATTGACTTTCGAAACTACTTTTTAATGGTATATCCTCAAAATGAAATTTAGCGCGGCTTAGTTGGAATATACTGTGATTGTGTTTTAATTGAACAGGAGTGAGGATAGGATGATTTTAAAATTGTAATGATTGGGGTATTCATTGAGCCAGTCAATGTCCGAAACCACTCCTAACACCATTTTACTGTGTGTTGAAGTCAGGTATTAGAAAAAAGCCCAAATAAGCAACCTCGGAATAAAACAAGACCATATAAAAACCGTAACCCGTGATGTTCAACAAATTAAAGAGTCTTAAAAAAGCCCAGTATCTATTATTATAAGTGGACTTGGTAATTCTGCCACGACTACAAAGTGCAAAATTATTTATTTATTTTGTTGTAACATCACTGCATCTCAAACTGTGATAAACTTATTATGTCTGAGTTGGGCAATGAGTGAAAACTTCGTCCAACAATCAAATGCCAATATCTATCTCAAATACATCTAAATTTGTAGTAATAGGACATGAACCACACAACCTCGGGGTCAAAGTTTGGCACATTAATCACTGGGCCGTGCTCGCACCTCTCTTCTCCCCACAATTCCTCATCGTTTTGTGTAGACGTGCTTTTATCCAGCCCCAGATTTTTTTCGGATATTATTTTTAGTTAATGATATAGTAACAGACCCTTTAGATACTTTACTGGATTTAACAGAAATACTGTTTTAAAGGCGTTTTTCTGACCAAACTGTGAGTTATGAACGGACCTAAAAATAACATTTAGGGTAAGATAAGTTCACTTCTGTTCTCAAGAAAATTATGTGAATTACATAATTCTAATAGCTATTATTTTTCTTAAGCAGTTCTCTGTTTAAATTAAATTTCTCATAAAAAATTTAAACACGATTGAGCCTCACATAGTACGGTAGTTTATGAAATGTATGTTAGCTTGTAAATATTGATACAGTTTAGGGTTAGAGTTATTATATCAAATCAAAACTTGTAAAGAAAGTGCTAAAAATAAGATTTTGTGCTTTTTAAAGTATTTAAATATGTTATGCTGAAATCTTGTGCAATATCAGTGGGATTGCGGGAGAAAATGTAGATAAGAACGAGGGTACAACTAACAATTAATTCAAGACAGTTTAATCAGTTACAGGATTTAGTTTTTGTTATATTGGTTTATATTGATTTAGTATTTTTAATCATTTTGTCAAAGTAGTTTGTCTTCTTTAACGTTCATGTTATTTTATTTTTTAGTTATGATCTATATGACATTTTAAACTAACTTGGTTGTGGTCTATACAGTTGTCTTTCTTTTATTCAAACATTCTTAATGAATAATATCGATATGGTATTTTGACAAAATCCCACCAGATCGCGCCACTATCAATAAAAAATCGGCATAAATTGGAAGAAAGTATAAAATGGGTTGAAATCATGTAATTAATCTCTTTCAATAGTTACTTTAAGTTTAGTTGATACAAAAATTACAAAGATTTAGTACTTGCGGGAGAATTATTAAGAGTTTTAATAAGTAAAACCATGCTTCATTTCGGTGCTGCGTGTATCTTGAAGTTAAACTTAAGGAGCTTGTGGAAGCATCCGAGTATTCGAATGCATGCTTCACACGGGATCAGGTGTCTCTTGCTGAGTTTATATGTGTATCAGTAGCCGAAAAGTTAACGGCATCGCATTCACAGGGAACTCTTCGATTCGATTAAACAGTATGCGACTGGGACAGGACTGTGTGTTATCGTGATGTTACTTACAGTGCTATAGTAAAATAAACAGCGTGAGATTTTGTTTCAGCATGATTTGTAAGATTGTTGTTACAGCTCTGATATTCTTTGCAGAAATCGGCTTAAATATTTTAGGTAAGAATGTTTTGTTTGAAATGTACTCTTAGTAGTAGGAATAGACTGTAGTCTAAGTTGTAACTTCAAAATTTAGAAAAAAAATCGGTTGTTTCGTAAAATTAATATAAAGAAAAGTTGTAACTTAGTGAAGTTTCTGTTGTTAGAGGAAATACTGATAGCATTTACAATACACTGTATTTGTAGCACTCCTACTAATTAAGATTTGACAAGTTGTAAAATTGTCAAATATAAACCTATAAGGTTCAGTAGAAGTTTGTTGGGTATACACAAGTAGGATTGAATGGAAATAAAAGAATTATGTTTGTTGTGAAGATCATCTACTGTGCAAAACGTTTTCATATAACATACATTTAGGTACGTTTACACTTTACATTTGTAAAATGTATTTAAATTATTAATACCATTAAGTGCATTTTAGGAACATATTTTAAATTATACCGTGAATAAAAATAGGATATGAAGTAACATTTTTTCTTATACACTCTCAGTGACATTCACCACACTAATTCAGTTTTTAAAGTATTTTGAAAAAATACCCAAAGGTTAAAACAGTTTTTGAACTTAATGGTGGCTCTTTAACTTGACTAATGAAGGTAATTGTGATGTTTTTTATTAATATGTGTTTATATACAGAACTCAAAGTTTTACAACCAATAATGATAACCTTAACAAATAAGTGAACAATGTTAATAACTTAATACATGTAGAAGGCATGCCTACAAAATATGATTTCCAGAAAGTGACTTATCTACAGAGTTTACATATTTATAAGTTACATTTCTAACATTGTGGTAATTTAAATTTTTTTTATTATTTCCTTAGCTCAGATTGAAATCCGAGACCTCTAGCACACCAACTGAGCTAAAGTGTTAACCCACTAGTACTTAAACTTTGAATAAGTGTAATGTCTAAAGTATCTTATTCCTCGTTTGTGTTTTTTTTAACCTTTTTTTTGTGATATAAAACTTGATTTTCTTTTCTATTCTTTTTTTTTTTGTCCAGTTACTCTGTTGTTCTGGCCTATATAGGAAGTTTGTGACTGATACAATAGATGTGGAAGATCAAGTACTGATTTTCACATCAAGTTATGAGATACAGTACTGGCTCACTTTGAAAGAGTGAAAATATATTCTTATTTACAGACAAGTATTTAATGCAAACACAGATCTTTGCATGCATCAAACATTGTATATTAATTATTGATTTTCAAGGAAATTTTGAAGATCAAATACTGATTTCAACAGCAAACATTGAAGAACCAATTTATACAACAAACACCGAAGATGGTGGCTTTCAGAGCAGACATTAAAGATTAAGTACATTAATATCCACATCCAGTGTTGAAGATTAAATAATGATTTATGAATTAAAGTATTGAAGATCAAGAACTGATTTCTATAGCAAATGCTAATGATCAAATCTGACCTGTAGAGTAATAATTTAAGATGAAGTATTGGTTCATAATATAGGTATTTAACATAAAGCAGCTTGTTACACAGCAAAGTGAAGTTCTGTCAGTGATTAATACCTCATACATTGAAGATTAAATAATAATTTACACATCAGTCAGCACTGAGGATTGAATACTAATTTATAAAGCAAATATTGAAGATCAAGTATTAATTTACTCAGCATGTACTGAAAATCAAGAAGCAGTTTAAAACCCCCACCAATTTGTGCAGATTAGACAGTATTATTTATATAACTAATTAATTCAAAAAAGTTCTTTCATTATAAGCTCATGATCATAGGAGAGCCAAACAATATTTACAAAATGGCTTACTACATTTTAATGCCAGAGATAACACCGAAATAGGGAATACAAGTTGTTTATGAAGATCACAAACTACTGTTGATCTGTGTTAATGTGAAGATTGTTAAATATATTGCATGTTAATTCCTGGGCAAAAATTTTCATGTTTAGAGTTTTGAAAGAAGTGTTGGTGAAGATGCCTATTAGAACAAGAAAATTTAATGTAATCAAACTGCTGAGTTACAAGTCCACACAAAAGTAGAGATATCTTCAAAAGTAAAATTTATACATTCTGTGTGTGTTTTTTAACTACTTGGCTATAATACAAGTGATCCACTGTTTGTACACACAGTATTTAGATAATTTAAGCTGATACAATGTATTTGGCTTGGATTATTTTGTATTTATACAAATTTCTTTATATTCTTTCACATCACTAGTATATTAATTTATGTGTATTTTCTGTCAAGCAACAGTAATTAAAAAAGTAACATTATATATTTAAAAAAAAGTTCTAACTCCCTGTATATGGTATACAAAAATTAATACCAGCAATGGGTACAATTGTAAATGTTCAGAATAGTTCTTAAAAAAAAAAAGAGTATTCAAAAGTATTCCTGAAGAGTAGTGTTTTTAGTGGTATAATAAAATGATATAAATTACATGTAAAACAAAACCTACCACTAAAACTACTATTAGTGTAATGAGGTCTTGAAGACTACTAGCTAGTCACAATGAGAGTTTGTTACCAAATCTAAACCACGTGATGTGTATTTTCTTATTCAAGTCTCTAAATCACAACATGAATATAACCTGAGTACATGATTTAGCTATAAACTTAAGCTAATGTATCTAAAAATATTTTGCAACTTTATAGTGTTGTTGTTCAATTCTTATTATATTATATAAATCCACTGTCAAAAGAACACAAATATCAATTTAAATGGTACCTGTCCTTCACCACTGGTTTTATAACAACCCTATAACAATGTACTAATGCTGTTTTATTGTGATAATTGTTAGTTAATAATAGCTGTTTTTTAACCACTCTGTAATAGTAGTATTAACAGTATTTTAGAGTGGTTCTCATTGTATCTTGTTGCCACTAATTTTCTAAACCATCATAAAACATTGATACAAATACTGTTTTATAGATACACTTTCTAATAAAAAAACTACACTACAAAAGTAGTATTTATCTTACTAGTTACTGCTGTTTTTCACAATTAATGTGAAAGAGTGATACTAATACCAACTTACACTAAAACCTGTTAGCTACCATTAGGTACAGAGCAACATGCATTTATGTTACTAGACACTTCATTGTGTCAATTTCTGTTAATTTATGTTCTCCCAATTTTCAGGATAACCATGCACTTGTGTTTCCAATGTCACTTCATTATTAGCCTATTTGTCTTTAGGGCTTCCATCCACTATTAGTAGTGAAGCAAGTTTATAATGGTTTTTGTTTTAACCTCTAATTTATATGATCTTACTATACTACTAGTGTATCTAAAACTTAACTTTTAATGGCTAATTTTAATGCTAATATATTTTAGAATCCCAGTCATACTGAAACAATTAGCAGTAAAGAAAATGAAAATTGATTTTCAAAGGTTATGGTACATTTAATGCTCAGGCTCATGTCATTTCACAGTGACACTTGTTAAATGTAAATAAAATGTGCATTGATTGTAATTAATATTAACTTCAAGTTAGAGCAATCTACCTACTTAGATTGTATACTAACCACCTATTGTAAATAAATGTATTATCATATAACTATAAGCATCAAACAATTCAAACACTTATCTTTTAAAACTTGTTTTCTTACTTTACACATGTACTCATCACTCAATAGTATCAATGTTTTCATGGCATGGTAGAATTGTAATGCAGTAAAACCTATTCACTGTAATGATGGTATTTCCCATTATACCATGAAGTCAAAAACTAATTTAAAAAGAACAACAACTTTGAAAATAATTTTTTTTATTTTATCTTATTCTTGTTTGTCTTCAGCAAGACCACGATTCTAAAATATTATATAACTGTACTAAAATTACAATCACTCATTTAAAATTTAGTTTCAGATACATTTAGATACTATTTAGAGTTTGGTTGTGCAATGGCTAAGTTTTTCTTACTTGTCAATAAATACCAAATCAGCTGAACTTTGAAATATTAAATTTTTTTATGTAATTTCATATTTATTCTTAATGCCCATTTATCTGTTGTGTTTTCACTACAGTTTTACTAAACTCTAACTTAAGTCACAAATCCTGGCAAGTTTTCAAACATACTTTTTTTACATCCTACTAATAAAACAGTGAAAATTTTGACTGAACTGGAAACTGCACTTGTAGTGAATATTCTGGCCAAGTGAATTTGACACTTAATAGCAAATACTATGGCCTGGATTATATACTTTATCTATAAGTGTTCTAGCCTTAAGATCAAGAACACATCACACACATTAGTATTAGTGAACACAGCGGCCTAAAGAATATGTTGTATGCAATAGAGAACATTTTGGCATTATGCAAATATTGGCCCCATAAAACAAACATTCGAGCTTGAAGTGAATGCTGCTCATACTCATAAACATGCATATTGCACCTACTATTGAAGATCCCTGCCTAAAAAATATACCGCACCTATCAGTAAATATCTGGACAGGAAGATAATATGGTACTATGTTGTAATAGTGTATATCATATTAATCATCTAGACTTGAAATGGATACTGCAGCTACTAGAGTGAACATTCTGGTTTGAAATAAATATTCCATCTACTACTGAATACTCTGACCTAAAGTGTATATTGAAAGTACGTCTAACAGATAACATTCTAGCTAGACACCACACCTATTATTAAATATTTTGGTCTAAGTGCAAGTGCCATGTACTTGTGAACATCTTGTCAAAATGAATGAATGTTTCTTCTAACACATTTTTTGCCCAAATTCAATACTGCAGCTACTGGTGAACATCATATGGTGTGAAATGTACCCAATGGTGAAAATCCTGATTTAAAGTAGTGGTTTGGTATTATGATATAACATAAAGGATCATCTTTGAGAAATAATAAGTGTATATAATTTTAATTTATCTTACTGACATAAATTTGATAATTTTATTTTTCACTGCAAACTTATTTATTGTCATTTAGGGGAGTACTCAGTACTCTAACATCCTATCAAAGACACTTTCTTTCACACTCTTACCAATTTATGATATATTAC